CCCCAAAACCCCAAAACCCCAAAACCCCAGAATGGCCGCCTTATTATTCATTTAAATATTTTTGCAAAGATGAGTGATATAACAGAGATTAATGACTATAAGGTGGTGAAGACACTCTCCAAGTCAGATGAAGCCTACACACTTGTAGTCATCAGTAAAGGGCTTCAGAACATGTCTGAAGATTATTTTAAGATCATGAAGCTTAAAAAGATACCTGGTAAGATTTCTTGGGTATTTTATATTTGCTATATTAAGATTTGAATGGGTATAATTGGTTTACAGCATTCTTTTGATTATAAACTTAACCCTTTTGATGACAAAATTAACCTTTCTACTTAGGAGATAGGTAAGGAAGAACTCAGTGCAGATATCGAGACAGATATCAGCATTATTGGTAGTTTTGAGCATCAGAATATTGCACCCTATGAGACCTATTTCTTCACAAAGCTTGAGCAAAAGACCTATCTAGCAGTCCTAAGGCCTTATTATAAGTCTAATATAGCAGATGTAGCTAATTTCGTCAAGTTCACTGCTGCAGATAGTGAGATGTGTGATAAAATAATTAAAGCTATAAATTATGTTCATGATAAATACTCAATGATACTTACCCTTAAGAAGTCCAACTGCTTCGTTGACTCAAATGGGGAAGTTCAAATTACGGATATTGGGATCCCTTCACTTCTTGAGTATGAATTAGAAAAGAAAAAGAAGAACTTGAAACTAGCAATGTACACCCCTCCTGAAATAGACGAATATCTCGTGGGCATTAACTATAAGGTGGATGTCTGGGGCTTGGGTATTTTGTTCTATGAATTATACAAGAAATGCCATCCTTTTGAGGAATCGACACCAAAAGATGCTCTAAAACTAGTCAATCGAGAGTTTGTTGGGGTTGAACTAAACGAAGGAATCATAGACGATATCATCCGAGGGTGTCTGAAACAAAAACCCTCTGAGAGATTGACCCTCGCCGGGGTCAGAAAACATATAAGAGAACTTATAGAAAAGGAAAACATCGATTTTGGAGATGCTGAAGTCAGAAGACTGAGCTATGGCCTCGCTTCTCCTAATCGAGAATTCAACGCAACCAAAAGAGAAAGTGGTACAGAGAGATTAGATGACCCTAGTGAGGAGCAAAAGATTGATCATGGCCATGCCGGTAGTGAGAATTTCTTCCAAGTCATCAACAAAAATGGCTTCTCAAACGAGACCTACCAGGAGATACTCTATAACGGAAAAATGCGTGATGAAGGAACTGACCAGAAAGAAAAATTTAGATGAGTAAATACAGCTACTGACTGCCATAAAGGGCAGATAAATGGAATTGAAGTTTTAGACACAGGTCTGCTTATCACCAGTGGAGATGACAAATGAATTCACTTCTGGAACCCAATGAATAATGACCTAATCGCAGTGGTGAATGAGAGCTCGAAGGTTGGAAAACTCCTAACATTACCAAAAGTCAAGGAATTCTACTATGTCATTGGTGCAAAGGTCAAATCTTTTGATTATTCAACAGGAATAGCCACTGTTATATATGAAGGAATGAGTAATATTACTTGTCTTGAAATATTTCAAAATGGTGAGAACAACCGTAAGTAAAACCCCAGCTAAAATTTAGTTCTTATTGTTGGCCTGAAGGATGGGACCATCGAACTTGTCAACAGAATCCACAGAAAAGTTACACTGAGTAAACCTTTTCATTCTGGATACTCTGTAGTAGGTGTCAGCGGGAAGGGAGACTATCTCCTTTCTGCTGGAACCGATGATGTGGTTAATATTTACAATGTGAAAAGCACACTGCTTGAGAGTGAACTCAACCTCAAGAATGCAAATTTTGATGGGCTTACAGGAATCCTTAAGCTTACTCAAAATGAAAATGAGATGATAGTGACAGATCAGCTATTTGGTATTTCATGGTTCTCTTTTGACGTGGACAACTCTTCAAAAGAGCATCCAGATATTAGCTACAGACCTGTTGTTCAACTCTTCGATAATGTGTCACCAAATGAAAATCTGTTTGGAGCTACTGACGAGAAAGGATTAATCAAAATATACAGCAGAGAGGGTGCTGAAGAGGAAGGACAAACAACAGAAATTATCGAAATAAGGAAGTTTAGAGGACATAAAGGTCAAGTTACAGGCATAGCTCATTTTAGAGATGGCTCTTATGTAACTTGCTCTGTTGATGGAACTTATAAAATCTGGACCTCTAGAAAAGACATCATTAGAGTTGGTAAAGCAGATGGATCAAAAGGATGCTGAAGTGGTGGGAAATGAATAATTCAATAATAATTAAAACATGTTTAAATCAATGCTTTAGAGACAGTGTGGGGTTTTGGGGTTTTGGGGTTTTGGGG